GGGGGGGGGGGGGGTGTCCAGGGGCAGGAAATTGTTTGGATTTTGACTCCCCAAAGTCGCCTTTCTTGAGGTTCTGAGTCATTCAGACAGGATATTGGCTAGATTTTAACTTAAAGAGGTTTTTTTTTTTCATTACAAATATATTTTTCGTACAACGGTGGAAACTTTGTGGTGTGGATCTGCTCCTGGGTTACAAGAGTTGATACAGTGTAGGGTACCACCATAACCAGCTAGTAAAAATAACTTAGTTAATGAACCAAGACTTTTTATTTCCAGTATAATAAAAAGATAACTGTACAAACCAAATGAATGTCAAGTAGTCAGGTCTTAATTTACATACAATATTCAATACATATTTAAGCCCAAGCAAACTGTACAATAAAATTTTAAAGTGTTTCTTAGATCACTGCAGATCATCATCGTCAAAAAGGTCATCAAAATCTGTTAAAAGAGAAAAAAATAATAATAATGCAACTATTGCAACCTTTTTGCAGGAAAATATGACTTTTTTAGTGGAAAACAGTTGCACCAGTGCGAACTCCATGCTGGGATTTTCTAAACTTTGAAAAGTGACTCACAGAGGGCCAGATTTCCTAATCTTCACTGACACAGCAGCAGATAGTTGGATGTAAAAGTATACAGCCCGATTTTTAAGACCACTGCATACAGTCAACACTTGATAACTTGAACCCTTGCTAACTTGAACCAAAGTCGATTTCCCCTGGATTTCCTTCATACCTTTACTGTAATTTTACCCTTGTTAACTCAAACCCTCGATAACTCAAACCTCCTGCTAACTCAAAATAATTTTTGTTTCCCTTCAGATCATTTCTAGATAATTCTACACTAAGTAACTTGAACCAGCACGTGACAAGTAGGAAAAAAAAACGTGTACTGAAGTCTGTGACACTGAATTTATTTCAAAATAACCGTGTCATTTCTCTGTCTTTTCTTTTTTGTTACTCCAGTTGAAACTCAGTGTCCATCCCTGTATACTTTGTTGCTTAATTGCATTCCCTCCCAATCCACTTGCTTATTTGCTTATTTCCAGTTATTTGCTTCAAACTCCCAATAAACTCAAACTTTTTTTTATTTCCCTAGAAGGTTTGAGTTATCAGGAGTCGACTGTAGTCATGGCCTAAATAAGGTTGTATAATTATGGGGTTTCACTGCATTTATAGCCTGATCCAGGCGTTCAGATGGTAGAGTGCAAGCGAAAAATTGATGAGGAAAAAAAACGCACAAGGAGAGACTAGAAAGGGAAAAGGGGAGGGAATACCTGTAAAGATACCCTAACAGGGCTTTTTCTGCCCCTAATTGGCTGTTAACCGCGTAACTGGAACATGAAGGGCAAAGGAAGAAATCTCGAGGATGCGTGCACCGCCCGTAAAATAATAATAATAATTATTATTATAACCATCACTTGCTATGCAGGCTAATGTCCGCATGATTCGATAACAGATGTCTCTTCTCCTCCATGTCGCATTCGTCATCAACATCACCAGTGCTCAGGTGTTTTAACACCTTCTGTTAAAACAGAAGGTGTCATAATCCACTAATAAGAGGGTACTGGCATCCAGTATACTGGAAGGACCTTTGTTAAGAATGTGTACAGGCGTTCCCTTGCTCTCGCCCCTTTCTCCCCTCATTTTTTCTCCTCATTTTCCCCACATACAATTAAACTCACTCCCCACCATCTGAACTGCGTGCTCTGATATCTGAAGGCCTGGAACAGGCTACTGCATTTGTGGAACTTGTATTGATAATGCAAATTACAAGAATGGAAATGGACAAAGCCTGGAAAAGGGCAGAGGGGGGGGGGGATCTCATTTTAAAGTGATGAGGATGTTCCTTGTCTCAGAGAAATTGGAGATTTTGGTCTCACTTGCAAGGGTATTGCTTAGGGTAGTGCATAAAGAAATATCTACATATAAGGCCCATACTAGTCTCCTTTAGGGGCTTTTATTCCCAATTCCTGAGGAGCATCCCCATCTCTTTCACACACCCCCACCTCCCCATCTCCCGGAGACAGGGCTGTCAACCCCCCACATCTTCAAATATTGAGAATTGATGGGGAGTGGGTGATAGATGATGTCATAATGCAGGGTACCTGACATCATTTTTTGAAAAAAAAAAAAAACGCACAAAAAAGATGTTGTTTTAATTGTAACATTTGACCAGAAACTAATTGGTTTACTTCCCACCAATCACATTACTGCTTATATTACAATGGCATACCTGGGGTTTGTGAGGAAACGTTCAATGTTAACAGAAAAATAGCTCAAACAACGCAAAATATTTGAAATTTCATTGTCAAAGAGTCGAATCTACAAGAAATGGCAAACTTCAGCGATTATCCGGGAGATTTCAGAATATCTGGAGACCGGGAGAAACGGTTTAAAATCTAGAGTCTCCAAGATTATCCGGGAGAGTTGACAGCTCTGTGGAGAAGACACTTACTGTTGAAAAAGTCACCATGAACTGCTCTTTCATTCGCTGCTAATTCAATCATCATTCCCCCACCTGATGCCGCCTAGGAAGAAATAAAAACTGAACTAAAGACAATGTCTTTCGTGATAAAATGCTAACAATTGAAGCAGAGTCAGTACCTAGCAGACGAGGCTGTCAGTCACAAACTACAAAGCTTTATACAAAACGGTCGTTACCTCATCCATCTCCATCCAACCAGCATCTCCATCAGGAAACATTTCATCCTGAGCCACAACGGTGGGCTTCATTTTCGAATGTTTAACGTTAAAAGATTGAAATAGATGAAGCTTTGTGCTTCCTAGCTTGGAGCTGTAGAGAAGAGATCTCAAACATGAAGTATCTATTCTTTTCGGTGCGTACCGCTAACAAGTTTTTGAGCCTGGCAAAAATACAACATGGCGGATTTGTGACAAGAGCTCTTAAAAATCGTCTTGTGTCAAATCAGCGATTAGAAATGACTATTTATAACCTGTACATATTTGATCGTAATGGTACGTGCCTTTACTATGAGTCTTGGAACAGAAGAAAGGAGTCAAACCTGTCAAAGGATGAGGTATTCGAGTTGTTTGTCCCTGATACTTGTATGTTGTATGTAACCTACCTTGTATCACTTTGTAATGTGGGAGTAATTTCTTATTGTGCATTCTTAAAGCTTTAAAACGGGGTGGCCTTCGTGTGCCACCCTAACAGGTAAATTTGGTCCATCTGAAAGTGACAGCGGAATACCCTGAATATTTTCTATGAACCACCATACCTTCATATATATGTGGCATTCTTGTGACTTGACAAGCAATGTTGGCATTTTTATACCCACTAGAGTCATTTGCACTTACCAACACTGAATGTAGGTGGTTGGTACAGTCTTGGTGCCATCCTTGGAAGGTCCAGGTAGAGGGTATAGGGGGTGCTGTGTGGATCCTTTCTTAATAAAGCCATCAGTGACCTAGCCTGTTCCATGCTCTTAGATAGTGGGGATGGCATGTAAGCAGGGGCACCCAACGAGAATATAGTTCAAAACCACTTAAACATAGCATTGTTAAACGTATTTTAGTATTTAAACGGTAGATATAGGCATATTTTTATCCCCTAAAAATTTTTCATCTGTTCAGATTTCCTAGCTGAAAGTCTAGTGATCCGAAAATTAAAGATTTTCGAAAATCCTAGGAGAGGCAGGCAGGCAAGAAATTTTACGACAAATGTTCCGAAAATTCTAGAACTCAAATTGTCTTCTGAACAGATATTTTCCAAAAATTGACATTGGGTGGCCCTGATGTAAGTGAAAGGCACGTGAAAATTGGAGTGCGTGATCTGGGAATAAGGAGGCGGTGGCTGGAAAAAGGAAGGGAGAGGCCATTATAAGAAATTATTACAGGCTCTACCGTCCTTCTTCTCCCCAGTTCCTCTAATTAATATTTCGAGTTCATGCTTTCTCATGCAGACCTGACTATCTCAGAACCTGGAACAGGCTATCAGGGTCCAGTTGTTTTATTCAAAAGGTGGATAACGCTATCCTCTGAATATATCTCTATTCAGTGGATAACACAATCAGTTTTCCTAATATTATCGACTGCTGGACAGTGTTTTACCCACTGGATAGTGCTATTTATTTTCAACCAACCAGCCCAGATCATTGTTACATCTTTTTAGTGGTTAAAAACTGAAGCTGCTGCAACATTTATGGGATACAAGTTTCTTTTTTTCCTTTTAGGAATTCAAGCTTATGTATGGTATGCTGTATTCAATCAAGTCATTTGTGGCTCGAATGTCTCCAGCAGAATCGTATCCTTACAATTTGTAATTAACCTGTAACATGCTTATATGTCATTATCTGTTTGTTTTTTGAATGCTCTCTTTCATTCAAAAAGACATTACTTCGTGGGAAGTTGTTTTTTCTTTTGCAGGATTTCCCATTCATCATAAACCCACCCAACACTTTAGATAAAAATGGACTAGAAGATTAAACCCTCAGCTACTCTGGAAGTTTCCAGGAAATTGATGCATTTTGATTTCAGTAATATTGATTACACCATGAGCTCTCATCCAATAAGATAGCCTACACAACAGGCATTATTAAGAGCACTCACCCGGCAGGGTTTGGGGGTGTGAGTGGGAAGTGCATGAGGACCATAAAATAATGGTGCCTGTTGTACAGGCTACCAATCTGCCAGTCTGTTGATGTTATCTTTCTTTACGTGACTGAAATAGTGAAACAAGTTACTGTAAAATGCATAACAAATTAACTGGTAGTGAAAAAAACAATGTAACCAGATATGGAAACTTGTGTATTATTAGAAATGAAATTTATTTATTAGTTTATTAGACTGAAAAACGCTGCTCTTCACCTGTTTCACTGTTCAGAAAAAATAGTAAAGAACACTGCTAGGCTAGAAAAGAGGAAACGGCGAGTTATCTAACCTCTACTACAAAGTTTTTTGTAGTACAAAGTTTTTTGTAGTTTTTTTTTTTCTTTCCTGAGTAGTTTTTTTTTTCTTTCCTGAGATAGCAGGCTAGCAGACTAATTTCATTTCTAATATTATTTTACCCTTGATTCAAACACAGAAAAGAAGGCTTTCTGAATTACAGAACAAGCAAATACAAACTACATTTCTACGAAACACCAACTGGTCTTAAATTTATTCTGAACACAGATTTGAACGTGGGAAGCACAAAAGATGTTCTCTTTAATATCTACAGCAAGGTATGTAATGCCCTGTGTTTGTGGAAGATTGTTAAGCCTCCGAGAGGGGTGGGGTACTTCCTAGTAATAGGTTAATTTGTAGCTCCAGAAAATATTCATACTCCCCCCATGGAAGGGATTGGAAATTCCTGGGGGGTGGGGGGTTCTCAAAGGCCCAAAAATTCAAGTAGATGTATGAAGCTTGACTGGAATTTCCTGAGAGGTAGGGGCTCTAACAAAAAGTCTCTTCCGTGGGGAAGGTATGGATAATTTTTGGAACCACACAATTTGGGAGGTGCTGTTAGATGGGCTCACATTTTCAACCTGAACAAAGCACATTAACGGTCATTCCACCCATGATACATGTACTACAGTCAAGCCAGGTCAAGCTCCCCCCCAAGATTCCATTAATAAATTTAGTTGAATCCGTTGGAAGTCGTAGATTTCAGATTCAACTCTTCATTCTTGTACGCGTAATGAGCCGTGAATTCACACGTGAGGTAGTTTTGAAATTTTTACCAGCTCAGTTTCCTGAATTGACGTAAACGTCTTCAAAGCAATTTTATTGTGGGGAGAGAAGAAATACGAGCTCCCCTAGAAACGCCTGCGTGGGAGGTTACCAAAGTGTAAGCGAATAGGAGGTTTTTAAGTTTTTATGTTCATGTTTATGCATATGACGTGACTGTTCCCTCTAATGTACTAAAGCTGCTGGAATGTGTTTTGTGTAATCAGTGAGTACCTAGCATGGGATTTAAGCATTGGTGATGTGACAGCTTGAAATATGTCTTCTTTATTTTGCAGGCTACTGCAGACTAGGAACTTAAAAAGCTTACTGCAGCACTAGATTAGACACAAGCCCCATTCCAAATTTTTTTGGTCAATCAATGCTAAACACGTTTGGGCTTTTTATCCTTCTCTCTTTAGATTTATGTCGAATATGTGGTAAAAAATCCACTTTGTCGCCTGGATGAACCCATTCAAAGCGAGCTGTTTGCTTCCAAGTTGGATACGTTTATCCGAAGTTTGCCCATCTACAACTGATCAAGAACACACTGATAGTTGACTTGTGTTGTGTACTGAGCATTAAAAAACTAACGAGGCCAAGATTAGCATAAAGACATTTCTTGCAAGATAATCATACATGCCAGTTTATATTAACAGAATGAATCTTCTTTCAGATTAGCTATTAATGGGAAACAGTTCACAAATGCACCTTAGAAAATGTTTTATAAGTGTCATGATTGAAGTTAACCATCAACTTAATGTTATTCTTTATATTACAAAAAAAGGAAAATATTAAAATATGAGGTGCTGCATGCCACAATATGGGCCAGCAAAATCATGAAACATTATCAGGAATGAGTGTGTCCTCCTTTCCAGTCAACATTGTACAGTTTTCACATGTGAATAATCCCCAAAGCAAGGATGCCGGACAAACACAGAACTAGTTTTGTCAGTGGATCTAAACAAAACATGACAGTTTTCTAAATGTTCCTTTCCAGATGTTTTATTGGCAAATAAAATAAAAGATCTAGTTTGCATTTCTCCCTAAAAAATATATACAACAAATAGCAAACACATCTTTGTGGAAACTATCTCCAAGCATTAGTCTTTGCCTGTTTTCCAGCTGGCAGAGGCTTCTTGTTTTCTTTTCCTTGTTGGCCTGTTTTTGCTGAAGGCTTAGCCCCATCCTGCACCCCTGGGGGACCCCCTTGGTATCTGAGTGGTGGTCCAAAGTGACTTGCAATTTGTCTTGGTTGCTGCTTGTTAGATTTGTCAGTAGACTTTGTAGGTTGGCCTCCCGGTGGGGGGATGGGGTGACCTGCAATGGAGGGACCCCCTGTGTGAGGTGCTTGAGCCTGTTGAGAAAAATCAAGTACATTTACTGCTGTCCATCAAAAAGGTGCAGTACCTTGCACATATGACAAAAACTGCTGTTTTCCTTTTAATGTGGTAAAAGTCCCGGGGGGGGGGGGG